GTCACTCACAGTACGAGTGACCAGTCAAATCCATGTAGTCGACAAACCCGTCTGCATACTTGACTCATTTGATCACCAAGTGCGCCTGCATCACCAAATGATCAGAAGCTCGCCTGCATACTTGACTCACCTGCACGAGTCAAGTTCATCCAAGTGACTGAGATTTGCCTATTCACTCAAGCAACCAGCCGGGTGATCAACAAACCTGCCAAACTCGTCAGAGTACCTAGCAGCTGCGCTGTCACATACAGGGATGAGCCTTCCCATTTCTCGCGATGTGAAGGGGAGGAGTACAGTGCTCCGAGCCCATCAAGCAGCCGCTCACAGTACAAGTGAGAGGCATGACATCTCTCAACAGTACATGATCACATCCCATGATTCAAGAGAGTGACCATACCGTCTCTCCTCTATTTAAGAGCCTCTCTTGGCTACAGGAATGATGTTCGCAGTTCATTGATTGATTCAATTAGTTAACCAGACCATTATCTCTCGACTCCCGATCGAGCTAAGGATCTGCTCCTTGGATTGATCTTGTACTGTATCATCTCCTTCTAGATTTCGGCCTTGATCGCCATTGAGCTCGAAGACTTGGACTCGACCAACACGAGCTTCTACTGCATACCGAAGCTCACCTGCAACCTCGATCAAATCGTCTAAGGGAAGCAAACTAGGTGTGAGAACTGATCGAGGCGTCCTATCGCTACCAAAGTCCCCACGTTAAACAAGGAGGGCCTTCCCTTCGCTTCTGTTGTAATTTTGGTTCACTAGTTTGTTATAAACTATTTTTATCAATACAAACGAAATCTCTGTTTCGGGAAATCAAAATTTATACCTACAACTATGGGACGATACCGTATTCCTCTAGGTATCTAGCAAATAGCCCTGAATATTATTTATCTGAACCATCATATCTGCCGTAGTACTCACCACCACGATCATATCTAACGGTTTTAATCCTTTTGTTGAGTTGATTCTCAACTTCAGCTTTAAAAGCTTTGAACATGTTCAGAGACTCATATTTCTCATGAATGAGATATAGGTACCCATAACGTGAGTAATCGTCTATGAATGATATAAAATATTATTAACCATTCTAAGATGTCGTAGAGAATGGCTCATAAATATCCGTATGTATTAATTCTAAGACATTCGAAGATCTATTGTCACCTAATCTCTTAACTTTAGTCCGTTTTACTTTGATACATTCAACACAAATGTCAAAATTTGAAAAATCAAGAGAATCCAAAATGCCATCAGACACAAGACGCTCAACTCTACCTTTTGAGATATGACCCAAACGTTTATGCCATAATGTCGCCGAATTTTCCTTATTTAATTTATGCTTAGTACCACGTGATTCCACATGCAAGGATTCATTATAAGAAGCAATTGTATCAAGCAAATATAGGTTGTCATAAGTACTCAAGTAACCAGTTCCTACAACAATTGAATTAAAAGATAAACTGAATTGATTATTTCCAAATGAACAAGAATAACCTGATTTGTCCAACACAGAAATTGAAATCAAATTCCGTCTAAAAGACGGTACTACGAAAGTATCTTTTAAATCCAAATATGAACCAGTTCCTAACAGTAACCTAAAGTGCCCAATTGTTTCCACATTTACCGATTAACCATCGCCCACAAAGATGTATCTTTCACCATCACTTGGCTTTCGGCAGCTCAGGCAGCCCTGCATAGAAACACTTATGTGAGTAGTAGCACCAGAGTCTAACCACCAAGTGTTTCTAAGTACTGAAGCTAAATTAACCTCAGAACAGACCAGAGTAAGAAACATACCATTCTTAGCACGCCAGACGTGATATTTGGCATAATCCTTCTTTACGTGTCTAGACTTGTTGCAAAAGAAACAACATTGATCATCCTTATGTTGTTTCTTCTGAACAGGACCCTTAGCAGCTTCATTTTTATTCTTTCTTTTCTTACCCTTATCCTTAGAGGCATAAGCCAAATGAGCACTCTCTAATTTATCTTGCTTTAGCATGTCTTCTTCTTGCACACAGTACGAAATGAGCTCATTAAGAGTTCATTTCTCCTTTTGGCAATTATAACTAACCTTAAACTGATTAAATTGTGCAGGAAGAGACAACAAAACCAGATGCACCAGTAACTCATCACAAAGATGAGTTTGAGTGCCTTGAGTTTTGAAGCAATATGAGATATTTCCATAATGTACTCACTGATATTTCCTTTGCCCTTATACTTTATCGAAATTAAGCGAGCTAAAAGCGTGCTTATTTCTACCTTACTGTTTTTTACAAAACGTTTCTCAATTTCAGCAAGAAAATCTTTAGCCTTAGTAATCTCTTCGGATTCTATGCCCTTAAAGGCTTCCGGAACGCCACGTTTAATGATCATGAGACTCATGCGATTTGAACACTCCCATTTCTCATACTCTTTCTTTACATCAAAAGTGCTATCCGCATTGAGAGGTTGGGGTTATTCAGTTCTTAATGCAAAATCTAGATCCATACAATCAAGAACTATTAATATGTTCTCTTTTCAAATCTTAAAATTAGTCCCATTGAGCATGAGAATTGAGTTAATGTTAGCAGAAATTATTACAGCAGATACATTAGCCGAAATAAACAAAAGATACTCACATTATTAACCATAATTAGTAATCAATAAAATTCAAATAATGACAAATCCTATCTCAAGATATCTGGCACAATGTTAATATCAAGTTTTTGGATAGTAATATTAATTTGTAAGTGATACCTTGTTGCAATGATCAAACACTGACAATAACTCATGTCAAATAATGAAACTATCTTTGGATCGATTCATTATCCATATGTAAACCTTATAACTGTCATGTGTTTATCATCGCAGATGCGTATGCAATCTAAATAAATATTAACCTTTCTTTAGGCCGATTAAATATTTACACGAAGGCATACACACAACCATCTAACATCCCTCATGAACAATCTACACAAGAGAGGTTACTTTGGCAACTTTATGTTTCAATTAATCGTTTAGAATGAAAGACAACTTTAATTCCTTAGTGTCATATTATCTGAATTAAATAATTGATTAACTACCAAATTCAATTTAAATTAAACAATTTTTAATTCAAATTGACTAAATTTCTAAAAACTTAATTAGGGCCTCATGACTTAATTAATTAAATAAAGTATACAAGAATGGGCCCATAACTTATTAAGGCCTACAAATAAAGTTTTAATTGATGAATTCAATTAAGCCATGCTTGAATTAATTGTAAGCCCATTGAGAAATTCACGTCCATGCTCACACACTAGCCTGTAGCTTAAGGATTAAACTCAAGTGGGCTTGGACTGAACCAATTAAGAGAAAAGGAGCCCACAACTTAGGAATTAAACTTAAGTGTATAGGCTTGTGCCCTAACTCACACAAAAGCAGTAGCCCTCTTCTTTCACCCGACGGGAAAAAAAGGCGTCAGAGAAGAACACGATGTTCATTTGAAAACAAACACAAAGTTCGTTTGAATTGAGCACGAGTCTCACCTGGGAACGAACGCGGGGTTCGTTTGAGAACGAACGCAAGATTCGTTTGAACTGAGCACGGGGCTCGCCTGAGAATGAACGCGGGGTTCAACTTGAGAACGAACGCGGGGTTCGTTTGGATCGAGTACGAGGCTCGCCTGAAATTGAGGTAACCTCCTCTATTTGCCCTAATTTTCCGCATGTTTTCACGCACGATTTCCTGCACGAACACCCCTTTAGGGTTTCGTTTTGAACCGTCGCCGCCGCCGCTGTCTCTAATTGACAGCGAGGCCGCCAGTAGAACATTGCCGGCGACGAGCGTGGCGATCGACGACTGACTTTATAAATTGAACTCTTGCTTTCGATTTTGATTATAATTTAGATCCAAACAACCGAAAGAAAAATCAAGCCAAAAGATAAACTTTGCTTAATCCATCCGAACAACAAATAAAAAAACAACAAAGTCGTTTAAATTTTTTTTTTGGAAGCAACAGTTCATGTTTGCACAATATCTAAACGTGTACAGATCTTAATAAAACTGAATTAAGATCAAAAAACCACAATCTTCATCTTAGATCCCTAAGATTAATCACGGTGGCTCTGATACCACTTGTTAAATCTAACATATGAGATCTAATCCATAAAACCATGATTAATTCAAAGAGAATAAACACAACAATGGGCGGAAGCAATACCTGAATCCATATTGATTTTAGCACGGATCTGAATATGGTTGATCTTCTAATCTGAAAGATTTCTCTTTAATATCTTTTTAGATGGGGATTAGAGAATAGAGAACGTAACCTTTAGATTATGGACCATAACTCATTTATATAGATTTACAATTTTCTAATTTAGCCCCTCATAAAATTAGATTTACAGTTCGGTATCTACACAATTAGCCCATGATTTATTTAAATACCCATTAACCTAAATTTATTGATCACTTTATGCGGGTTAACATTAAGAATAGCATTATACACTAATGTAATATATATACCCACAATTAGATTTAATCCAACATGTGGGCCCTCCGTTGATGAGAGAAAACGAAAGAGTGAATTACGATCATATTGAGTAGATGGATGAAAGAATTTTGAGTTGAGGGAGGATGAAGAAGAAAGATGATGTAGATTTAATGATTTTGACATGTGGAGATTAGAATAAATGTTCCAAAAAAGATACAGTTCCTCGGAATTCTCACCACTAGTGAGAAAAAAACCCTTAACGCTAAAAAAAACCACGTTAAAATACCATATTGACACCAAAACAGAAATAAATACATTATTAGAAAATATGATCAAATAAGAATACCAATATGATAATTTAGCCATTTCAGAACATTTAAATATTTGGTGGAATACTTTTAAAATATGAATATGTGGGGGACTAATTTAAAAATATGAAAGATATTTTTTTAACGAAAAAAAAATATTATAATTAATGAAGCAAATAAGATGTCGGGTTCCGGGTCGGGTTAAGCTAATAACACATGTTAAAGCCTGAGAAGAACCCGCTTTAGTGCTTCGCGCTGTTTCCTTTGAAAATTTTCAAACGACTTGTGCTGTGATTTCAAGTGACAGGTTTACTTCCTTTCTTCTCTTAATCCATTATTTGTTTAATTAGCTTCATTTCTCTGAGATTACCCGTGTTATCTGCATTTTTGAGTACTTTCTTTTTTCAATGGGTTGGATTTTAAGGAATTTTCTTTTCCCTAAGCAAAGCTTAATGGATGCAAAACTGGAATTGAATTGAATTGACAAGAACCCATTTGAGTTCTTTCCTTTAGTTTTCTTTGAATTGATACAGTTCTTTTTTCTTCAGATGGGTAGCTTGGTTTATAGAGAGAATCTACCTTCATTCATTCAAGGTGTTTGTGCAAATGTCATAAAGGGAAACAGGACCAATCTACTAAGTACCCAAATTGCTCATTGCTTAACAAATTCAGCTGTGAATCAAATTGTAATAGAACTCTCAAAAGACACTGATCTTTCATGGGCTTTCTTCAAATGGATTCAATCTCTTCCTCATTACCACCACTCCCTTCAGTGCTCTTGGACGATGGTTCATCTCCTCACCAGGGATAGAAAGTTCAAAACTGCTAGAGAATTGCTGGAGAAATTTGCGTCCAATGATTTTTCTTTGTCACCCGTGATGTTAACTTCATTGCTAGATTCCCACAATGACCCGGTTTCAACTACCCACGTACTGAGTTGGCTTGTATTTATGTACTCTCGGTCGAACTCTACTAATTTTGCAATTCAAACATTTGAAAAAATGAAGTTTAATAGACTTAAGCCTGACCCACATGCTTGCAGCGCTCTATTGAGTGCATTGGCTAAGGATAGGCTTACAGCCACGGCATGGAGAGTTTACGATGAAATGCGAAAAATGGGGGTTTTCGCAAATACCCACATTTTTAATGTCATGTTACATGTTTGTTACAAGTCCGGTGATGTTGAAAAGGCTCATAAGTTAATTGGTGAAATGGAGTTAAAGGGCGTGCTTCCTGATTTATTCTCTTATAATACACTTATCTCATTGTATAGTAAGAAGAGCATGCATTATGAAGCTTTGGGTGTTCAAGACAGAATGAAGAGAGAAGGGATCGAGCCTGATATTATAACATATAATTCTCTCATTCATGGGTTTTGTAGAGAAGGTAGAATAAGAGAGGCATTGAGGCTTTTTAGAGAAATTAAAGGTGTAGAGCCTAACAAAGTGACTTACACCACTCTAATTGATGGGTATTGTAGAGTAAATGAACTCGATGAAGCACTTAGACTAAAAGAAGAAATGGAGGCTAAAGGATTGTATCCAGGGGTTGAAACTTTTAATTCAATTATTCGAAAATTGTGTGAAGAAGGGAAAATGAAAGCCGCTAATGATCTCTTGAATGAGATGGATGAGAGGAAGATTGAGCCAGATAATATCACTTGCAATACCTTGATTAATGCTTATTGTAAGAAGGGGAATATGAACTTTGCTTGGAATCTCAGGAATAAAATGTTGGAATCAGGATTGAAGCTTGATCAATTCACATACAAGGCTCTAATTCATGGATTTTGCAAGGTACTGGAGTTGGATGAGGCTAAGAAAGTGCTCTTTGATATGCTGAGTGCAGGTATGGCTGTCCCTTTGATTATTTATTCACTGTAGGTGAACTTTGAGTATTGCCTACGGTCATACTGCATGTTTTTTTTTTTTTTTGCTTTTTTTGGCTTGACGAGGCAACTTCCCCATGATCCTATGGGTATCAAATCCCTGGGCGTGGCTAAGGGGCAGCCCCCGACGCACGGCCTCGGGTATTCCAGGAAAATAATTTCCTATGGTGCTCCCCAAGAGAATCAAACCAGAGACTTTGATCATACTGCATCGTTATTTGCACTTAAATGCCTCAAAGGCCCAAAGCTTACTCCATTTTTAAGTTTGATACCCCAAGTTCTTTTATGCCCAAATATACCTCAAAGGTTACCATGTTTTTAGCTTTGATATCCCGAAGGTTTTTTGCCAAAAAAGTATCCCCCGAGTTCAAATTTTATCTTGGATACGTCAAAGTTTTTATTTGCCCAAAAAAAACCCATGTTTACCCTATTTTAAATTTTGATACCCCAAAGTTTTTTGCTCGAAAAATACCACAAAGTTCGATAAAACTTGACATTGGTAGCCCAAACTTTAAGAAAAATTTAACTCTAGATTTTGCAGCTTCATGCGGACAATGGCTCTGGATACCTTCCATTAATTTATTGATTGAATGCAGGATATTCCCCAAATTATTGTACCTACTCATGGCTTGTGGATGGTTATTGCAATCAGAATAATGAAGATGCGGTAGCAAGCATCCCGGATGAGCTCTCAAAAAGAGGCTTTTATGTCGACAAATCAATTTACAGGGCATTGATCCGAAGACTTTGCAAGCTAGGATTGATCGACTCTGCACAAAAAATATTTCTAAATATGCAAGGAAAGGGATTTTCTGGTGATTGTCTTTTATACACTAGTCTAGCATATGGTTACTTAAGTGCAGGAAAGCCAATTGCTGCTTCTGAGATGTTAAATGAAATGGTTAAGAAGAATCTAGTGATAACTGCTAAAATATATAAATGTCTTAGTGATTCTTATAGAAATGAAAATGGCATATTGGATATGCTTTGGCATCATGCAACTGACAAAGGTTTGATTGCAAAGAATGTTTACAAGTTGATGCAACAGGATGGTACAAATTTCTAAGTCGCAAGGGGATCTTCTGGATTTTATCTCATACTGGAAATCTTTAGAAGCCACAATTGTCACTGTGTTTTGGAGTGTCTTGGCTTACACTGTAAATGGATTGGTGAAACAATCAAATCAACAAGGTTAAGGCAATTTCCTTCGGTCTAAAATTTGCCTCACCGACACCTTTTACTTGACTAAGGTGAAAGCATCACGGTCCATACGAAAGTGTTGGCAAACATAAGGTTCTAGAACTTCAAAATCATTCATTTTGCTTCTTTATCATGGCTAAGAAATTTTTCCAAGCAAGGGTTGAGATCTTAACACCATCTACTGATCAGAATATTTTTGCAGCATCGGTACGTACAACATATTGGTTGATTGTATGATTGACTATATCTCCCGGAAATTGCCTTATGTAGGATGCATCAAACTCAACTCTGATGGGTTACCCGTTCCACTAAGTATTGTTTGGGACAGCGACTTTATTAATAAGTAAATCATGTTGAATTGGTTACTGAGTTCTGATAACCAATTTGGTCGTCTCTTGGAAAGATGCAAGTAAATTATGCAGCAGATGAAGCTGATATGCCCTCAATTATTTGTACTTGCTGATATACTGTCGGTTATCTGTACTTCTCCAACTTGGCTTTCTTATGGTAACTGTCATGAAGGGGCCTTCTTCAGTTTCTAATTTGAGATAGCAAATGATCAAAGTGTTTCCATTTAGACGGGTACTTTCTTGGATTGAGGGTTATTGTTAAACTAGTTGGTTGCTGTGGTGATGATGAAGCTGGTCATGGTAGCAGGACTGACCTATATTCATTTCCTCAAGATATGTAAAGATTAAAGCGGTTGCCATTTCCAGAGGACCTTTCTTCAAGAAAGTCCTTTCGAGTTCGTGTCTTCGCTTCATCAGGTGATTTGGTATCCTAACTTTACTCTGTTCTGCGAAGGAGCTGGTGGTACAAGAAATGCAATGCAAGCTGAACAGGTTCCACTATGGACAGATCGCTGTCATTTGGTTTGCAGAACAAATTCAACTTGTGTTTTCTTTCATGCCAGCATCAAGAGCTCATCTATTTTATTAGTGCTAATTTTTCCACTTTTACGGTGAAATTCTGTACAGAGTTCGTCTCTATCTTAGCAGAATCTTTCATTGAGAACAGTGAGAAAGTCTATTTTTCCGTTGGAATTTCAGGAAACACTTAGGGGCTGTTTGTTTTGAGTTTTTTGCCTCGGGGAGGGGGTGGAAAGCTGCCATTATGGCAGCTTTCTCCCCAAAACGCCTCTTTAATAGGCGTTTTGGGGAGAAAGCTGCCATAATGGCAGCTTTCCACCCCCTCCCCGAGGCAAAATACTCAAAACAAACAGCCCCTTATGAATTATGTTACGACAGCATCGTTAAATTACTTATTTACTGTTCAAACAAAGAAGGTAGTGGTAAAGCTGCGGTACGCAGGTAATGAACAGTACTTGTGTGAAATTTTTATTCAGAATATTTGAGAATGGGCATTTCTGTTTTTTTTTTTTTGATTAAATATATCTTTGAGATCTCATACTCTTAAGCATTCTTCATCTTTGCATGAGCAAGATACCTGGTTTCTTCTGGTTTCATATCGGCAACTGTCATTGTACATTCAGCCAGGATATTTGTTATGTATACGTTTGGGGGCCAAAAAGGCCCCCCCCCTCCTATACAACTAAGTGGTAGGAGCTATTTGAGCTAGCCAAAATTTTTATCCATTGATTTTGCATTGATATTTGTGCTAGCATATGATACAAATGAAGACACAAATCTCAAAGATAGCTTTGATGTATAGCACAAATTTCAAAGCATATGAAGGGATAAAAAGTTTGGTGGACAAATACTCCTACCTACTTAAGTTTATAGGAGCTTTACACACACACACACACTCTCTCTCTCTCTCTCTCTCTCTATATATATATATATATAAACCTCCTTAGCCTAAAAACTAAAAGCCATTGTGGGTCATTGGATCTATCTCATCCAATGGTTGAGATTAGAGCTTATACTGCAGTGAATCCAGATTCAGTTATAACAATAAATGCTATTATTAAAGAGTGCAATAAATTTGTCTGCCATTAAAGAGTGCAATAAATGCCATTATTCTTCAAAAAACAAACACCTCACATAACTGAATCTGGATTCACTGCAATAAATGTCATTATTCTTCAAAAAACAAACATCTCACATAACTGAATCTGGATTCACTGTAGTGAATCGAGATTCACTCATACGTGTCTTCGTTTTTTCAACTGGAAATCCTCACCTTATATATGAGTGAATCTAGATTCACTATAGTGAATCCAGATTCACTGGAGTGAACCTTGATTCACTGCAGTGAATCTAGATTCAGTTATGTGAGGTGAAACTGGATTCGCTGGAGTGAATCTGGATTCAATCCAGTGAATCTGGATTCATATATAAGCATTTCTTGTAAAAGATGTATTATTTGATATTCAGTATAGCCGTCAAGATTCCATTCAAGTAGAGAATTTCCATCGAAACTTGTTTTATGGTTATTAATTTCTTCAAATTGCATATCAGCAGGAGTGAGTCTTTTATAGTAATTTCTTGTATTATTAGAAGAGTATGGATGTTTGTTTATATTCTGAATCTTTAAAGGTTTGTCAAAATCATGATCTGACTTATAATTAGAAGTCTCATCGAACTGAGATTCAAGGTCTGATAGGACATTTATAGTAAGGGATTTTCCTTTATCCTTTAAGTTCTTAGTCAATTCTTCATTAAGATCACTCATTTGCTCACCAAGTCTAAAGGGTTTATTATTTCCTAATTTGATATTGGTGAAAATCTGAGGTGGAAAAGGTGGTATAACCATTGAGCGAGTAAGAGGTGGTTCCTTTATGTCAAGAATCATATTTTCAATTCTGTCTGTTTGTTTACCTATTGTCTGAAGGTGAATATTGGCAAAATTATTTTGTCCAGTCACAAGGGTAATATTCTCTTGCAAGGGTACCCAGTTAGAAGGTTCCAAAGATGTGATAAGGACAAGTTTAACATCTTCTTTTCCTACCTTTATTAGTTCAAAGGGTGGATGTAAAGATTCTATTTCTTTATCCTTATCTATTTTCCATGTATTGGATATTGTTTTCAAAACAAACGCATTGTTCTTGTTTGGTAGATGTTTAAGAGAGTGTTTTAGATCTTCTAAATATATAGCTTCATACCATAGAAAAATGGTATATTTTGTTTGATGGTTCGCATGAAGTCATAGTATAAGGCTCTAATGGATGATCTAAAGTCTTCTTCATATGTTTGGAAAAACCATTCTCTTTTGTCTTTATTTTTAAGGGAATTAAAGTCCTTCCTTAGGAATTTTTTATTAATTTTAAAAGATGATTCATTATTGAAATCTTCAATAGTATTTATATTTGTTAACTTAAGATCTGAGGTTTTAACCAACATGGTTTTTGCACAAGGATAGCTTAGAAACTTAGCCATCTTAAAAAGACTTTAAGTCTTAACCTGTCAACAGCAAGGGATGAACACAGACAAAGGAACTCTAGGCGCACTCAGCTAACGGGTGAAAACCGTGTAAACTGCGATCACTAGTTAAGAAAATAAAGACTTAAAGAAGATAGCAAAGTAAACAAGCTAGATATTAAACAGATAGAAGTAACTCTAAAAAGTTCACAAAATCCTCACCAGTCAACAACACCGGATGAACACAGAACAAAGCTGGTGTAAGTCGCGACTACAGTAAGAAAAGAGAGAACTAAGAACGAGTACTAGAATCTGCTAGAATTTCTAGATCATACTAGAAATGTTAGAGAGTTATTACTCAAAGTAAAGCAATGAGGCTAAATAATAAAATGCTTAGAATTAAAGCTCTGAAATAAGAAATAAAGCAAGTGCTTTAAATTAAAGCTATCAAAAATTATAGTGGTTTTTTATTACAAATATATACAATTGTTTTATTGTAGAATGAGCATTAGTATCAAGGAGTGAGCTGTTTCTCACGGGGATATACACCGGCTCGCCGAGGTTTGGGTTTCACCATCGCAGGATGACTCCGCCACCAGCTAACTTGGCTCTGATACCAATCGTGACCAGGACTTGTTTAGCCTTGATACGATAGAGCTAGCTCGTGGGGAATATTGTGTAGATGGAGGATAGGATATATCTATTGTTTAAGATTAAATTTATCACCTTGCACACAGAAAATAGAATTACTTTGATACATAGCAGATTCTGAGATGTTAACACATAATAATCACAAAAACACAGAGAAAAGAATTCTGAAGGCTATAAGGTTAGAATAGCAGCACAATATCTAAGCTAAAGCCGTCAGCTAGTAATTGACAGATACAGATTTTAGTGAGCAAACAATGTATAGAGACTAAGGTCAAATCTGCATTGTAAAATGGCTGATAACTTTCCCAACTATTATTGCCTCGTGTCCCACAAAGAGGAAGAAAATGTTACTAAGCATGCATGACCCTAAGCTGCTGGATAGATAAAATTGGATTTCTTTTAGGGGCGAAAAAGAAGGAACTACTAATAAGGTCCATTCTAGCTGTAGACAAACATAAGAAATATATTACTCATATCATATCATATCATACTCCCTTTAAAAGAGGGAGTTGTGGAAAAACTTTTCATGGGCTATATTACCCCTATTCTTTTTTGATATTACATTCTAATCCTAACTAAACTAAATTAATTATTATTGTTAATTAATTATATTATATGTCACTTCGAGTTTGTCTAACTTGGTCCCTAAAACTTCCAATGTTATTGTAAAATTCTACATCATATTAATTATTACTAATTACTAATGTATAATAATATATTAATAGGCAAATTGCATGTTAATAAATTATTTATTTATAGAAAGAGTAGAAAACATAGAATTGTTCTAAAATTATAACATGACACTCATATAGGAAAATTACAAAGAGTATTTTTGCATTTAGGTAACATGACAAAAGGTACAAACATGTACATATTAATTATTACTAATTACTAATGTATAATAATATATTAATAGGCAAATTGCATGTTAATAAATTATTTATGGAAAGAATAGAAAACATAGAATTGTTCTAAAATTATACCCTGACACTCATATAGGAAAATTATAAAAGCTTTCTATGGACTATATTACCCCTATTCTTTTTTTATATTACATTCTAATCCTAACTAAACTAAATTAATTATTATTGTTAATTAATTATATTATATGTCACTTCGAGTTTGTCTAACTTGGTCCCTAAAACTTCCAATGTTATTGTAAAATTCTACATCATATTAATTATTACTAATTACTAATGTATAATAATATATTAATAGGCAAATTGCATGTTAATAAATTATTTATAGAAAGAGTAGAAAACATAGAATTGTTCTAAAATTGTAACATGACACTCATATAGGAAAATTACAAAGAGTATTTTTGCATTTAGGTAACAGGACAAAAGGTACAAACATTTAATTTTAGAAAATATTATGGAAAAACTTTCTATGAGCTATATTACCCCTATTCTTTTTTGATATTACATTCTAATCCTAACTAAACTAAATTAATTATTATTGTTAGTTAATTATATTATATGTCACTTCAAGTTTGTCTAACTTAGTCCCTAAAACTTTCAATATTATTGTAAAACTCTACACCATATTAATTATTACTAATGTACAATAATATATTAATATGAAAATTGCATGTTAATAAATTATTTATGGAAAGAATAGAAAACATAGAATTGTTCTAAAATTATACCCTGACACTCATATAGGAAAATTATAAAAGCTTTCTATGGACTATATTACCTCTATTCTTTTTTATATTACATTCTAATCCTAACTAAACTAAATTAATTATTATTGTTAATTAATTATATTATATGCCACTTCGAGTTTGTCTAACTTGGTTCCTAAAACTTTCAATGTTATTGTAAAATTCTACATTATATTAACTATTACTAATGTATAATAATATATTAATAGATAAATTGCATGTTAATAAATTATTTATGGAAAGAGTAGAAAACATAGAATTGTTCTACAATTGTAACATGACACTCATATAGGAAAATTACAAAGAGTATTCTTGCGTTTAGGTAACAGGACAGAAGGTACAAACATGTAATTTTAGAAAATATTAGGATATTTAACTGCAACAATATACAAGTGGAGGTGTATAACTTTCGTACTAT